CTCACAGAAACAAAGATCTGAGTATCACATGTTCTCACTCATAAGTGGACCTTGAACAACTATTGTAATACTATAAGAAAGGGATTGACAGTGGTGGGAAACTAGGGGGGGCAGGGAGGGGAAGGGAGGTGGGATTAATGGTAGTCAATATCTCTCTGGGGACAGGGGACACGCCTCATCAACAAGGGTACCTACACAAGGCCTATTTGTATACCTAACCCTTAACTGTACCCCACAATTTTAAAATAAAAAATATGCATTAGAAAAAAAAAATAGTTGATCAGGCCTGTGTGAAAAAGCCTCCATTTAAAAATCCCAAAAATATGTGACTTGGAGAGCTTCCATGTTGGCAAACACATTCACATGTCAGGAAGGTGGTGCACCCTAACTCCACAGGGACAGAAGTTCCTGTGTGAACCCTTCTGAATGTCAGTCTAAGTATCTCTTCATCTGGCTGTTTATTTGTAACCTAAATTATATTCTTTATAGTAAACCAGTAAACGTCTGTTTCCCTGAGTACTGTGAGCTGTTACAGCATATTATTGAATCTAAGGAATAGGTCATGGGAACCCCTGATTTAGAGTCAAGTCGGACAAAAGTGTGGGTACACCACATGTAATTGGTTTCCAAGTGGGTAGCAGTTTTGTGGGGCTGAGGTCTTAACCTATGGAGTTTGCTCTAACTCCAGGTGGTTAGTGTCAGAATGAATTAAATAATAAGGCACCCAATAAGGCAACCCACAGAGAATTATAGAATCAATAGGTGTGGAAAAGTCAGACATTTGGTGTCACGAGTGTGAGTAGAGGACACAGTGTTTACCCTTTAGGGTCTTCTACCCAAGGTTGCTGAGGAGTTACTGGGGAGAGGGGTCTAGAAAGATGGCAGGACTGGCATTCCAGCCCAGAGGAGCAGCCCTCCCACATCATGCCTCTTCTCTAACAGGGTGGGCAGTGAGGTTGTTTCTGCATTCCTGGGTGGTCTGGGGCTGCACAAGAAAGCATGACTAGACAGGACCATAGGATAACAAACAAGGATGATTGTTTTAGGTGGCTTGCTAGAGCTCAGGACTGACCGTGAGAGAACCTCTCACCTGTTGACCTAATCTTATTCTACTCTAGAATACCTGGGTTCTGTTCCCAGCTGCTGTCAGCCTACTATTGGAAGAGACAGCCACCTCCTAGAAGCTGCAGGTGGACACCAGCCCCCTGGCAGGACCCTCCTTAGCTAGGGAAGTTCATGGACAATCATTGCCAGCTGCCTCAGAGGACCTTGGTCTCTGGTCAGCTGCCCCCAGTGCCAGCTCTCACTTTCTTCTCCATTATCTCTCTCTCCCTCTCTCCCCCTGCCCCATGTGGATCCCACAAAACACCCCACATTCATTCCCACAGGAATGAAACAGACATGTCTCCCACCACCACTACCACCATCATAGACTCATCTGCACTCAGTAACCTTAGGAGAAATCATCATATTAGCTTTCAGATGGGCAAACACCATGTGGGAGAAACTCTCAGGCTCTGACCACTACTCTACCTCTGGTAAAGGCTCAGCTCCTCCTCACCCTTCAGGCCTCACTCCTCCATGGGGTCCGTGACTTTGATGCAGAGGACAGGGTGTCAGATTTTCAGAAGCTCATCCTTCTCCTTTTATTTTGTACAGTAGCCTGGACTGGCTCTTGGCTCCTTCTCCATTGAGGCTAAAACTCTATCCTCCTCTTCAGGTTTACAATTGCACTCTTGTAAATATGCAAATATGCAGCCAAGTTCAGCACTAAATTCAGATCAAAGGCCCAGCAGGGGTCACTCCTTTCATTCTTCTCTGGGACGTGTCTCTGGAGGCTCCAATAGCTCACATCCAGGTGGAGCAGTACAGCTGATGCCCGCAGTCCTGTCATGCTACCACATCGCAGGTCCCATGTCCCCTTCCCTCTGAGAACCCACTTGGATCCACCTTCTCACAGGCCCTCGGCCCCCACAAGGGAGTGGAGATTACCTGAATCAGGCAGGCACCTCTGCTCTAAGAGTTGTGTGGGAAGAGGGCACAGTTCCCAACAGATTTCAGAGTCCCTCTCACCTTCCCAAAGATCCATAGTAAGTTTTCTCACACTTTGTGCTCCTCACTGCACGGTTCAGTCAGATGCCCAACGCTGGGGACACACCAGGCAGTCTCTAAGTGCCTTTTGCCTCCTTCCCAGGAGTGGGAAACCCTTGGGGTCATTTCCTGTGCGCCCCCCTCCCCAGGGATTAAAACACTGGAGTCGAGCTCTGATCATCCAAACCTTCAGTAGCCCTTTCCCATACCGCCAAACACCATCACCACCGCCACCAAGTTTAATGATATTCACTGTGGGCCTCCATGGGCCAGGCGCTGTGGACCAGGCATTTTACACACATGCTGTCTGTCAGTCCTCACAGCAAGGTATGAGGTGGACATGCATAGACTACAGGCTAGCAAGTAGCATATCCAGAGTCACAAGGGCAGTTGGAATTTCCACCTGACTCCAAAACCTGTTTTCTGTCTGCTCTATGGTGATCCCACTAGACATGCTGTATCGGACGACCCCTGAAGGTCTGGTGCCTTGGGAACTCATGGAATCTGCCACCCTGGGGCTCACCATGCCTCCGGTGCACTCGCGGCAGTCCTGCAGGCAGCTGATGTTCTCCCAGGTGCTGTAGGCCTTCAGTCCCGCCACCAGAGCCTGCAGTGAGCGGCTGTTGACCAGCTCCTTCCCTTGGAAGATGTCCTCATCCAAGAGGCCCCCGGCGTACCTGTGAGACAAAGGAGAGACATGCTGAGTGCAACAGTGCAACAGTGCACCAGCACACATGTGAAGGAACACCCTGAAGAACAACAGAGGGTTGCTGGTATCTGGGGTAGACCACAAGGCTGAAGGCTGCTCCTATGGCAGTGACTACCAAAGGCTTCATGGGCCCTTCAAAACTGTCACCCTGTGCCATGAGCATATCCATAACCATCACACCATTCTCCTCTTCGAGAAAACCTCTCCTTGGCTTTCTATAAGTTTGCTTTTCTGCCAGCTTATTTATAGGTCTCATCCTTCAGAATACAAAAAAAAATGGTCACTACTGAAAGGAGAAATTATAGTTGAAGATGTCAATTCTTCTGTCTGAGTAACTGATACAATAAACAGAAAATCAGTAATGATGTAAAAGATATGAACAATACTACTAAAAACTTGACTTAGATGACACTTATAGAACACTCTATCTAATAATACAGATGATACATTTTTTTTCAAATGTATCTCTCTAGGTACCCCTTGACCTAGCACAAAGTGGGCGCTATGCTTAGCTCGCTCCCTCTTTTAGTCTACACATGTAGGATCGCATTCTAAGTCATTTCCTTCTATTATACATATACACATCTCTTGTATTTGTCATTTTATATTCCACTTCCATTGAAAAGTATGAAATGGATTGTGTGGTAGGCAGAAGAATGACCCCCAATGTTGTCCATGCCCTAATCCTTGGTACCTGTGAATAGGTTACCGCACATGGCCAAAGGGACTTTGTAGACGTGACTAAATCAGCATTCTTGAGATGGGGGATGATTTTGGGTGAGACAGTCAGGCCCAATGTAATCACAGGGGTCCTTATAAATAAAAGAGAAGTGGGAAAGGGAGTCGGAGGAATGCAGTGTGAGAAGTCAGTTGGCCATTGCTAGCTTTGAAGATGGAAGGGGGTCATAAGCCAAGTAAGACTTGTGGAGGCTGCCTCCAGAAGCCAGAAAGACAAAGAAAGTAGGTCTTTCCAGAGCCCCCAGAGGGAAGGCTACTTTGCGGATACCTTGATTTTAGACCAGTGAGACCAGTCAGATTTCTGACTTCCAGGGTAAAGTAATAAATTTGTCTATTTTTATCCCCATGTTTGTGGCAACCAGTTACAGCAGCAATAGAAAACTAATCTGGATTGTGACCCATTTCTTCTTTCAAAATGGTGCCACTGTTTTCCTTTGCTTTCTGCTGCCCTGCGGGTACAACAACTGTGCAGTGTGTAGCAATGTTTGTGGTTCTCCCTCCATGTGCACTTTCCCTCTTACATTCTGAATTTATTTGCCATCTCTCTCTCTCTCTCTCTCTCTCTCTCTCTCTCTCTCTCTCTCTCTCTCTCCCCCTCTCTCTCTCCCTCCCTCCCTTCCTTCCTTCCTTTCAAGTTGGAGTCTCACTCTCTCACCCAGACTGGAGTGCAGTGGCACTCCTGGCCACCACAGCCTCGACCTGCTCAGCCTTCCAAGTAGCCGGAATTACAGGTGCATGCTACCATGCCCGGCTAATTTTTGGTTTACTGTAGAAACGAGGTCTCACCAAGTTGCCCGGGTGGGTCTCGAACCTGCAGGCTCAGGCAATTCACTCGCTTCAGCCTCTCAAAGTGCTAGAATTACAGGCTGAGCCACCGAGCCCAGCCTTTGCCATATTTCAAAACATCAGTTGTAAAACATCAGTTGGAAAGGTCAGCTCACTTTCTCCCTCTCCTTTCCTTTGGACATCTTCCTATTCATCTTATTTTTAAAGTCTCCTATAAAATGAGTTGTTGTCTGTATTAACTGCTAAGAATAAAAGCTTCACTGCACTCTTTTTCTCTATGCTCGGTCAAATACCAGGACTCAAAAGAAGATTTTCTGCCAGCTTATTTATAGGTCCAGGCATTAAAGTCAGAGATGGTCAATACACTGAACTGGGGACCTCCTTGGAAGCACCTCAAACTCACTGGAAGGAGCCAGGGAAGCTCCTTGAAGTATGGTCTCAGGGGAAGCCAGAAATCACAGTGCTGGCAGTGGCGGGTGTTGATTCATTGATTGTTCTCTATCAACTGAGTACCATCTAGTGAGATGATTATATGGTTTTCTCCTTTATAATGTTAATTTGGTTAATTTTATAATGTGACTCTCCAATATTCAACCAACCCAGTATAAGCTCCACTTGGTCATTGAGTACTATCTTTTTTATATTTTATAATATGTGACTTGCTAATATTTTGTTCACAAAGGATATTGGCCTCACAATGTTTTTGTTTGATTTTTGGTATCAGGGAAATACTCATTAAATGGGTTGGAAATTTTTCTCTTTTCTTTTCCAAAAGAGTTGGTGTAAAACCAGTTTGTTTTCTTTTCTTAGATATTTGATGGACTTTGCTGGTAATCCCAGATAGGGATATTCATATTTTCTATTTCTTCTTGAGTCACTTTTGGTAACATGTATTTGTCTCTTTCATATATGTTGTCAAATGAATTGGCATTATGTTGTTATTACATCAATAACAATATTTAATTTCACCCCTTAATGTCTATAGTATCTATATAGATGTCCTCTCTTTTACTGCAGATATTAGTAATGTGTATCTCTTTTTTCTTGATCACTCTAACTAATGATCTATTGATTTTAACTATCTTTTGGGGAAAAAAAGTGGTTTTTTGGCTTACTTTTTCTCTATTGTTTAGTCATTTTTAAAATCTCAATTTCTGTTATTCTGATTATTCTTTCTGCTTACTTTGGACTTGATTTGTTCCTGTTTTTCTAGGTTCTTAAATGGAAATTTAAAACATGGATACTGAACTTTGCTTCTTTTCTAATGTAAGAATTTAAAGGTATATATTTTTCTCTCAGCACTGCATTAGCTGCATACCACAAATTTTGATATGTTGTACTTTATTTTCATTTAGTTCAAAACATTTTAAAATTTATCTTGTGATTTCTTTTTTTGACCTGTGAATTATACGTGTCATTTAGTTTCCTAATATTTGGAGATTGTGCCATATATTTTTCTGTTATTGATTTTAAGTGTAATTCCATTCTAATCAGAAAACATACTCTGTATGATTTCAGTCCTTTTAAATTTACATAGATAGAGTGTTCTATAAATGTCATTTAAGTCAAGTTTATTAATAGTATTGTTCATATCTTTTACATCATTACTGATTTTCTGTTTATTATATCAGTTACTCAGATAGAAGAATGAACACCTTCAACCATAATTTTGGATTTGTTAATTTCTCCTTTCAGTAGTGTCCATTTTTATTGTACTCTGAAGCTATTTTTTGAACTCTGAAGTAATTTTATTGTACTCTGAAGCTATTTTTTTACACATTCAGATTGTTATATCTTCTTGATGAATAGATTATTTTATCGTTATAAAATGTTCCTTTTTATCTCTGGTTATATTCGTTTCTCTGAAGTCTATTTTATCAGATGTCAGTATACCCACTCCAGCTTTCTTATCACTAGTTTTACATTTTTTGTTATTCTTCTTCTAAGTTATCTGTCTTTTATGTTAAGTGGGTTTCTTTTATAAAGCATCTAGTTAAATCTTAATTTTTAAAATCATGTCTGACAATCTCCAGATTAAATAAGACTGTTTAACCCATTTACACTTAATGTAATTATCAACAAACATAATGAATTTAAAATTATTATCATGAATGTTTTCCTATTTATCCCATATGTTCTTTATTCCCTTTGCTCTTGTCTTCTTTTGATTAACTGAATAGTTTTTAGTATTTCACTGTTATATTTTAACTATGCCACTACTCTTTAGTGATTGTTCTATAGTTTAAAATATGCAACATCCAAACCCAAGAAAGGTTGGTTTAAAGAAGAGAAAATATGCATCATTGGCTTATCACATTCTTCCCTCAAGTTGTAGTATGCCACTTCACAGATAACGTAAGACCTTTCAGCAATACACTCTACCACCACTCCACTCCCCTATACATTGTGCTACTGTGATTTTAAATATGAAGATATATATATAAAACATATAAATATATACAGATATCTAGATCTAGATACAGAACTTCTACATGTTTTATAAACCTCATTACGATTTTTGCTTTAAACAACTTAGCTTTTTCCCTAATCAACTTTATTAAGGAATAATTTATTCACAATGGTGCATTCATGCAGAGTGCACCACATGAAGAATGTTGACCACTGTGCATACCCATGAGAATAACACCACAATCAAGCTACAGGACATCTTCAACATCCCCCAAAATACCTCATGCCTCTTCACAGGCCATTCCTTTCTCCATCTCTATCTCAACTACTGACCTGACCTGTTCTTTGTCACTAGAGACTAGTTATATTCTCTGTAAATGGCATTATACAGGATGTGTTGTATCTTGCGTCTTTCAATGAGCATACAGTTTCTAGATTCATCTGTATTACATATGATTAGTACTTGTTCCTTTTTTTTGCTGACTAGTATTCCATTCTATGCAATGTACACATCACATTCATTTATACATCCGTTGATGAACACTTTGGTTGTTTCCAGTGTGGCACTATTACGAATAGAACTGTTATGAAAATGCATGTACAAATCTAAGAGGAGACACATGTCTGCATTTCTCTTGAGTAAATATACAGAGGTGAAATGGCTGAGTCACATGTCAAATGCATTTTTAACTTTTCAAGAAACTGCCAATTTTCCATAATGAGTTATGCAATTTTTCATTCCCACCAGCAGCGTAAAAGAATCCTAGTTGTTCTACATCCCTGCCAACAATTGATCTTTGTAGTCCTTTGAATGTTAGTATTTCCAGTAGGTATGTAAAGATGTGTTTCTATGGTTTGAATTTGCATTTCCCTGACAACTATGATTGTGAACATCTTTTCATGTCTATTGGCTCATTCATAGATCATTGAATCATTGGATCATTCATAGATCTTCTTTTGTTAAGTGTCTATTCAGATGTTTTGCCCACTTTCTACTGACTTGCTCATAGTATTTTTATTGGATATTTTCATTAC